CCAGGCCACCTGTGTCCTTAACAACAGCTGTCCCTTCACCTGAGTGACTGCCATTCTTCTCCAGGAAAAGAGCCCGTTCATAACTAGTCCTTTGTACAAGTCCCCTGCAGGTCATTTAAAACTAGGTATTATCTGAAGACATTTGCTTTGAGGGGAACGAATAGGTGGGACCCCTGAGCACACAGGGCCTATCCCCATTGCTCACTTGGAAGCATCCCGTGTGCTTGTGATTAGGTTTTAGGAAGGAAATGGTGTGACCTCATTTCTCCTTTTGTTCTTATGAGGTCAAAGTAGGCTAAGATTCTGTGTGAGCCCTGAGCACAGGAGGTCTTGGCATCTACATAGAACTGTCTGGCCTGAGAACGTTAGGTCCCTTTAAGCTACTAAAATCCAGGTCTGCACATCTCTCCGAGGGAAGCTGTGAAACCATCCCTTCTTACTTAATTAACAGGAACGACGAGGTGGGGCAGCCATGTTTGTTCACAACAGGATCCGGTGAATCATTTCTCATCTCCGATTTCAGGCCTCGGGAGGGCTGCGCTGGAAGGAAAGCTGAGAGCAGCTCTGTCAATGCGAGGCCTCATCTATTATGTCCACAGCCTCTTGGAAATGTCCCCCCGGCCAGGCTGCCATCAGCACTGACTGAAAACACATGGAAGCGCCCACTCAGAGCAGGAATTCATTATTAGAAGAATAATAAGGGAAAGTTTCCCCCCCTCTCTGTGCTGCAGGGAGAGCTGCTTGCTGGATAGTCACAGGGCTGAGGGGATCTGAATCATGTCTGGTCCTGAGGGAGGGATGGAGGCGGAGGGCAGTTTCCAGAGCCTCTTCTCACGAAGCACCATGGCCCTGGGGGACTGGTCGTTGGGTCTCAGGCGACCTGCTGAAATCAGGATGGCCCTTGCCAACCCAGTACCCATTTCTAAGGTGACTAGTCTGGGAGCCCCAAGGGGAAGCCGGGGTGAACTAGTCTCCCCTGTCAACTCTTTTCCCACAAGGTCCCCGCAGGCTGCAATGGGCTGCAGAACCGTTCGGTCTTCCTTCCTCAACATCACCCCCTGAGCCTGATGGACGCCCATTAGCCCAGGGTAAGGAGTGGATGTGAAAGGCGACCTTTGCCAGCTCGCTGGGTCTCCCAGACACGACAAGGGGTCACGCATATCCAGTTCTCCTTCCCTTCAGAATACGGGGTGTGTGTGGGCTTGTGCCTTCCACTCCTTGGAAGAAGTTGGAAGTGGCCACGTGACTGCTCGACCCTGAGAGACATGATGTGCGTTGTTTCTATAAGTGACCGACTTGTAAGTGCACGACCCAACCCTCCCCGCCATCCAGCCCCCCCCATCCCCAAGGCAGTTGTGGAAGTGGTTGTCCTGACATGGAACGTGAAGCATCACCTGGAGGACAGTAGCCCAGGAGACATTAAGTCGTTGAGATTTGGAGGGCTGTTTGTTTAGGCACAAGTCCACCCTGACACAGGCCCGCTCTCTGTGGGTCCTCTTTCTGCCCAGATCTGGGGAACTTGTGCTGCATCTGAAACCCACCCTCAAGGACATTTAGAGAAGTAGGCAACATGCTTCCCTAACACTTAGAATGCTCATTTGAGAAGTAGGACGGGTTTCTTCCTTCCGTCTGAGCGAAAGAGGCCTCTGGTGAATTCTGTAACCGAATAAAGACTGTCCCTTCACAGACATGGGACAAAAGTGATGGTGATGACATTAAAACCGAAGCACAGGGGGAAAAAGACACTGCCAAGTGGGAACAAAACTGCCAAGTGGGTTTAAGACCACAGTTTTTAGGTCAGAATCTGATATTTTGCACTTCCTTTTGTCTTCACTCCCTCTCCCCCATTATCTAATCTTCATTCCCCTTTCCTCTGGTTTTGCCAGACGAACTTTTATAATTGTGTCTCAGAGCAGTAATGTTGCTCACAACATACAGCGTAGCAGACACTATGCGAGGAGTTCAGCTCCTCTGGATTAATCCAGAAATGCTCGCCCTGTGGGCTGACAGGGACACATGCACTCCTGATGCTTCACCAGGACAGTGGCACAGGCATGGGGAAGCTAGGATGCCAGCACAGACAGGGAGATAAAGTCGGACTTTGCCTACATATGTCATGTACATGCCTTCCCCCCCCCCCCAAAAAAAAAGCTCCACATCGCACCCGAGTTCGATGAAAGTAATTAACAGCTCAAGATGCTTCACTAGCATCTCCTGGGTGGTACCAGTTTGGCAGATTTCCAGCTCATAAATACGGCCTGCGTCTTTTTTCTTGTGAACATTCCCTGGGGCAACTTTCCTGCTCATGTCTCCTAATTCTATCTAGTAAAAGAGTAATAGCAAATTGACCATCACACCAACACACAAGATGGTTGCCCCCATGTGGACACAAGATGGCCACCACAAGATGGCCAGCAGGGGAGAGAAGTCGGGAGGGACCAGGCCTGCAAGAGAGGGCAGTTGGGGGCAATCAAGTCTGCAGGGGAGGGCAGTTGGGTGGTGGTGGTGGGGGGCACCAGGCTGGCAGAGGAGGGATGAAGGGGGTGACTGGGCCTGCAGAGAAGGGCAGTTGGAGGAGATCCAGGCCTGCAGAGGAGAGCAGTTGGGGGGGGGGCAGGCCTGCAGGGGAAGACAGTTAGGGGTCACCAGGCCTGAAGGGGAGGGCAGTTAGGGAGAAACAGGCTGGCAGGGAAGCAGTTAGGCATCAATCAGGCTGGCAGGGGAGTGGTTAGGGGGTGATCAGGCTGGCAGACAGAAGCAGTTAGGGGCAATCAGGAAGTCAAGCAGATGAGCAGTTGGGAGCCAGCAGTCCTGGATTGTGACAGGGGTGTCCAACTGCCCGTTTAGGCCCAATCCTACTGGTATTGGGCGTAAAAGGACATCCCTTAAGGGGTCCCAGATTGGAGAGAGAGCAGGCTGGGATGAGGGGCACCCCTTCCCCCATGCATGAATTTTGTGCACCGGACTTCTAGTCCTATCTAATAAAGAGGGAATATGTAATTGTCTGTCACATCCTCACAAAGGTGATGCCCACAGCCACAAGATGGCGGTGCCCAGTCCCCTCAGCTTCATGTGCCTGCCTGTGGAGTACCCCAGTCCCTTCAGCCCCCCAACCACCCAGGGCTGGCCCAAGGCACAGGCAAGCCTCAGATGGAGGCTTCCCAGCTGCCCAAAGCCACTTGAGGGTCAGGTAACCAGGGCTGGCCAAGGTTTGCACTGCCAGCAGTGGCAGCAGCAGAGGTGTGATGGGGATGTCGCCTTCCCCTGATCGCCAGGTCGCCTCCTACAAGAGGGGGCATGCTGGGCTGAGGGACTGCCTCTCCAGTGCATGAATTTTCTTGCACTGGGCCTCTAGTCTTTAATAATGGAGAAAGGAGAAGAAAGTGGTGATGGGGACTCTACCTTATTCTCAGCACCACAGCCCAGGCTTTTTGCGGTCACTACTCTAGCAATTCTTTTATCTGGAAAACATTCACTGAGTTCCTGCTATGTGTAGAGTATGGTGCTGAGCTCTTTAGTGAATGGAGGATGGCCAAGAGAGGTTGGAATAGATATGAATAGAAATGTGACATGGGTTGGTGAGGGGGGAGAGAGAAAGGAGCAAGTCTGCCTGGGTTCAAATCCACGTTCCATCACTTTCTAGTAGTAGACCGAACTCTTCTTGCCTTGCTCCTAATCTGGAAAGAGGGGTGTTAAAAAGTCCTACTCTGTCAGACTGTGAGGGGATCGTGTACACTTAGGCATGTATGGTGTGTGTCAGACATGCAGTGCACTCATTAAATTTTGGCATGAGGCAAAGACTGCTGAGGTCCATCCCGGCATTGTGGTTTGTGGTGAGCTGCCCTGGAGGGTCCTGGAGCAGGAGAGTGTGGGGACTGGCTCGTAAATTGCTGGGTGTAGAGCACTGTCTTAGTGCACAGGGGTAAAAAAAATAAAGTCTCCAGGGGGAAGCCATTTAATCTCTGACACGTGTAACAGAGAAGTGTTTTCCTTGTACCTTTTTCAGACACGTTTGAGTGCCCTGTTTTTACATGTGAACTGCTCGGCTTTTCTTACTTGGTGAACAGTGAAAGTGGAGAGAGACTGCATTAATAGTTACAGAAAACAAAACATCTTCCCTAATTTCTTAAAGACTCCCGTGATATTTGAAATAGGCCAATGCATATAGTAAGAATTTGTGGGAAATTTACATTTAATCGGCTGCAAAAACTCAGCGTGTTGTTCACAAATGTTCTATCAAAGACCCCAAGTTCTCCAGAAAGCATCTCACTCAGAGGGAGGCAAAGGGCCACAGGAATACCTCCTCTGATCTCTCTTTTACCCTTGCAGCATGAGGCTTGAATGTACATCCATCATGTCACTTCATTTTATTGCTTTATGTTGTTGTTAGTAGTATATGAGTCTTTCCCATTCCTAGTAACAGAGTTCTCAGGATGGGGTTCATATCCTATTGCTTCTGAGCTTCCCATTAGCACTTGGTCTGGGCTCAATAGCAATGAGCTGTTAAGGACTTAGTTGTTCAGCCATTCCTGACCAGTCTGTACCTGATTTGCTCACAGCACTGTTGGGTACCCCCAGGAGACAAGAGACAGGATAAGATTTGGTTCTAGCATTCACGGCATTAAAATAAATAAATAAATAAATAAATAAATAAATAAATAAATAAATAAAATAAAAACCCTGGAGGGGGAGCAGGTACAAAGTGACCATATAGAGGACAACTCAGGGTCAGTAACCACTTGGGTGAGAGAGGTCCCAGGGCCAAAGGCTGGGAAGATTTGAAGGGGCCGAAGCTGCCAGGCCTTGCACTGAACCAGTCTTGAAGCTTTGGTGGGAAGCCTGTGGCAGCAGGAGGGGGTCAGCTTGGTGTTGTGCTGGAAACGACTGCATTACCCTATGGGTCACCAATTGATTTATTTGCTAATTGACTGGCCCAGCTTTGGGCTTTCAATCTAAAGAAATCATTTCATCCTTTATTAAATACTGCAGGAATCTCACTCTTTGTTCTGCGGGGCTATACACAATTTATTAGTGAAACGTGCATTTACACCACAATAGTTGCACCGCTAATGACCTTCCAAATGCCACTAACACCGTACATGTTCCGCTTCTCAGTGGGATCCAAACCTGTCAGTGAATTCTGAGCCCGTCGACCTCCCTCTGACACAAGAACAGACCCCTGAGCTCATGCCCCTAACCCCCACCCTTCCATGATTTCATTTCTGAATCGGTCACTCTTTGGCGATCCCAATTCTTGTACACATCCTCTTTTTATTTAGTGAACAATACTTTATTCGGAAATGTTCCCTCCTGTAATTACAAATCCTGTTAGTCCTCCTCCTCCTCTCCCCAGGGGGATTGTGGGCTTTAATTAATTAATGTGGTTAAACCGATTTGAGGTGCCTGGTTGAAAGGTCCTATGTAAGTGCAAATTATTATTATTATGGCTGCTGACATCCCATGGCGGCAAGGCCCACAGCCCCATGCATCTAGGGGCCGGAACAAAGACTCCTCCGTCTTCACCTTCCCTGCCAGGTCTGCGATGGCTGGCGCAGTGGTACGAGGGCAATTCTGTTACCATCTCAGCAGCAATCAACTAATTAATCCCCATTAGGAAGGCTTCCGTTTCCTTCTTCCAGGCAGCACAGTCCTGTTTCATTTCACAAATCACGCCCCCATCAGCTCCACACAAAGGTCACAGTGTCCCTATGGCCTCTGCTGGCCTAAAAGGAAAAAAAAGAGGGAAAGAAAGAAAGTTTGAAACAGAACAAATAAAACGTTGTTGTGGAAATGCACCAACTTGTCACGAGCAGTCTGAGTAAGCTTTCCTCCATTTCCACGCGCACCGGTCTGTGATGCTGCCCAGGTGTGCGTTAGGGTGCTGCAGCCCAGGCTTGATGGCTGCAGAAGAAGGGGAGCCTTCCTGGGCTGGGTGGGAAGAGGTCATCCAGAGAAGCTGGAGGCCCTCTTCCGCTTCCTCCTCTCTCCCCAGGTTTTTCCCCTGAGAAAACCAGCTGCCATCTGCAGCCAGGAAGTCCTCACAAAGGCGGGGGGCCGTGATTTAGATGTTTTGTGCTACACCTAGCGAGGCCCGGCCCTTCCCAAACGCCCAGCACTTCCACTCCGATTGGAGCCATTGAAAGCGGCCCCGTGGGGAGACGTGGCCTCCAGAAAGGGACGCCGCTGACCAAAATGCTCCTTACAAGGTTGTGCCTCAGACCCTTTGTTAGCGTGGACGTGGGTGAGCCTCAGGGGGTCATGTCTTCATCGGCCTCCATTTATCCTCCCTATTGAAGGACTCCTTCAGGACATCGGTCAGTCTCTGTGGGAAATGATTCGGAGAGCAACAAAGGAACTCGGGGCCCTTTGGGGGGGCCTGCGGAATTCAGTAAACATCTGGACACGGAAGGCCAGGTTCTCAAGCAGCCTCGCCAGGGAGATGTCAAAAGAGAGAAAGAGCTGTGTGTGCAAGGCGAGCTCTTAGTTCTGTGGCGACATTTGTTGTAGAAAAACACAGCCGCCCCAGTAGGTAGACAGGAAGATTGTTCAAAGGCTCCTCTGTCTGTCAGTTGGTGTGAGCGTCGGGCGCTGTGTCGGTTCTCATGGCCCGTGAGAGGAAATAAAAGTTCTGCATGGCTGGGAGCAGCACGTGATGGGCTCATTCTGCACGTCCTGTGAATAAGTGAATAACCTGAGGTTGCATAAGCCTGTCCTGGGCGGTGCCCGGGAGCGTTTCTGCTCTCCTCAGAATCCGGGTGCACTTTCTGGTCAAGGTGCCTTGGATTCTCATCATGAGCACGTTTTAATTGACCAAAAAGAATGAAGTACTGAGCGTAAGTGATTTATGCTTCATGGTGAAATTCGGGATCTGAACTCTTGACTCTCGGTGCTCCCTTTATTGTTGAATCAATCCATTCAGAGCACATTAGTCAGCATGATTCATTACTCACATGGCACTAATCAGCCCTCCCCAGGGTCCCCGGATCTGTCCTCAGGCGGCAAAAGAACCAGGTCTCCGTGGAGAGGCACTGCCGGCCAACCCATCGGCATCGGGAGTGACGCCCAGTTCCAGCCCCACACGCTCTCGGGAGCTTCCTCAGCCATCCCAGTTAGAACAAGTCTGCCACCCCTATCCTGCCATGCTCCATTGTTAACCTTAATAATATGTGTCATGTGTCACAATTTGGCTTTGATCAAAGTTATCTTTGTTTGAAATAACTAGATTTTGAGCTTCTAAAAGGAAGAAAACCCCCCCGCCCCCCAGCCTCATATCCCCCATGGTTTGTAAACAATAGATACTCAACAAATATCTGAACTCACTGAAATAAAGCTTCCGTCGTATTCCAGAAAGCACACCGCGTCCTTTTGGGAGAGGTTTTCAAAGAAAATCAACAACCCGGATGGATTTAACATCCTTCCGTATTATTACCTGGGCATCCGCACAAATGCAGACTGTGACTCGGCAACGAGGGCCAAGCGGCTTGCAGCTTCTAAAGGAGCGTGGGTTCGGACTAACTATGGCCCAGGCCTTGGAACAGAGCTTTCCTCTGGAACCTTATTCCAACGAACATTTTGTTCCATGTTTTAAAACATTGTGGAGACAGGAAAAAACATTCCGGGGAGAAAAAAGTGTTTAGTCTGTGATTTTGGGCCCAAATTCAGACCCTGCTTTGTGCTATAAGCACTAGTAGGTGTTGTTCAAATATCTTTCTTGCTTGGTGCATAATAGCAAAACATATGATACAGTTTCTGCTTGAGATAGATTCCATTTTGGGTAAGGGACCAAGATTTTTGGGTGCTGATCTGAGGTGCCATTACTGACTATGATGCCCCATTTCTCTGCTCTAGGCTCTACACAAGAAGGAGAGCATTTTTAAAAATATATATTTTATTGATTTTTTACAGAGAGGAAGGGAGAGAGATAGAGAGCTAGAAACGTCAATGACAGAGAAACATCAACCAGCTGCCTCTTGCACACTCCCTACCGGGGATGTGCCCGCAACCAACATACATGCTCTTGACCGGAATCAAACCTGGGACCCTTCAGTCCGCAGACCGACAGGGAGAGCATTTTTAACACATAATATTGATGTAGCATTTCATCATTATGAACAAGCCCAGCCCTAAGGTCTGTATTGCCTAATCTCCACTACTGGACTTGAAGAGGGATATGTCACTGCGCATGCATCTCCCTCACTCGTAGAAATATAACCCCCCAGTTTAGCTGTGCTCCTGGCCTCCAGATGGACAACTACCCACCCTCTGACCAGCCATTCTACTTTTTGATGTAGACCCAAAGACACCCTCACATCTGCATACCAAGAAACATGTGCAACATAATTCATTCAATTAACAAATAATGGTAATTTCCATCCAGGAAGGAATGGGCAACATGTGGTGTATTCAAACAATGGATGTGACTACCTCAATTAAAGTAAAAGAACATGATTTACGTGTATCAAGGTGGATATACTGCAACAACATGACATTAAGGGTCAAAAACAAGTTATGACATGATGTGTGCAAGAAGCCATTTATGCAAATTTGGAATGCCTTCAAAACAAATCTCTCTTTGAGGCTAATAGCCAGAGTAAAAAAAAAACGGACCTAGCAGAGGGCCAGCGTGGGAAGATGTCACACAGGGAGGAGGTGTGAAATGAATGTTTAAAGGGAAGAGAACTGGGCAGACAGGAGTCCTTCCTTGTTTCCTTTGGGAGGCGCCTCACGGAGCAGCGGGCAGAAGCTGCAGGGAAATGCTCGGGCCTGCATTTCTGGGCTGCAGTGGTGCCAGCAGCCCCGGGGACAATGCACCAGGCCTGCTCTGTCCTCTTTGCTGTGACCCCTGGGTGAGAAGTTCACTCTCTCTGCTCCACTGACTCCCAGGGCTCTCTGCCCAGGCTCCCTTGAGAATGCCAGGCTGTGCCAAGTATGTGGGTGGTATTGACCAGGCAGACACCTTCATACCTGGATGGAAACAGATTGAGAATCTTCTGGGTCACTCTGAGTCCACCAGGCAGAAAACATTTAGATGGGTTACTGATTCAGACTGAAATCTGATGAACTCAGATGGTGGTATTTGGGGGGGAAGGGGGCGGGGAGAATTTTTCAATAAATCATCCTGTTGGCTCGGTGACTAAGAAAATGGAGTAGAAGAATCTAACCCAACTTTGTGACAAGGGAACAAACACAGGAGATTAATGTCCCTCCCAATATGCTTTAAAAGGCAATCAAACATCCACCCTGCATTTACAAGAAAGATGAAGCCGCAGTGCTCCAGCTCTTTAAAAAATCATGGTTTGACCTCTTTGTTTTCTGCTTTCTTCCAAGTCTCTACACTAGGTGGCTAGGAAAACAGGAAACTAGCTTTGTTTCCAGAACCTTCTCTCTCAAGGTTCCCGGCTCTCCTTAGGTTCCCCGTCTCTATCCCAAGGTGTATGGGGCTCACTCAAACCTAAGCCAGCAGAGGACAGCGCCAGAATCCAAATTCAACCTGTGAAACCTGGTCCTGATTAAAAAACAAAAACAATGTAAAAAAAAATAATTCTGTTGTGCTGAGAAAATAAGCCATTATCTTCTGTCCTGTTCAAAGCAGCCTGGCTTTTGTCTTTCAAATGCCCCTCAGGCCCCCAGGAAAAGGAGAGCGCAGCAAGGGCAGAGTGAGCAAGGAGGAGCCCCAGCCTCTTCATCCTCCCGGCAGCCCCTTCTTTAGGGTCTGCTTCTCTACCCAGGTGTTGGGCCTGACTGCTCTGAGCCCCACAGAAGCCTGGATGGCCCCAGTTTCCCCAGGCTTCCAGCAGCATCAGCCACACAGCCTGGCTGCTTTTTAATTTTTTAAAAAATATTTTTTTCCTAATTTCAGAGAGGAAGGAAGAGGTAGAAACACCAATGACGAGAGAGAATCATTGACCAGATGCCTCCTGCATGCTCCCTACTGGGAATCGAGCCAGCAACCCAGACATGTGCCCTGACTGGGAATCGAACTGTGACCTCCTGGTTCATAAAAGCTGGGCCAGCCTGGCTTTTATTTTTATTTTTAAAAAATATATTTTATTGATTTTTGTTTTACAGAGAGGGGTGGAGAGGGATAGAGAGTTAGAAACATCAATGAGAGAGAAACATTGATCAGCTGCCTCCTGCACACCTCCTACTGGGGATGTGCCTGCAACCAAGGTACATGCCCTTGACCGGAATCGAACCCAGGACCCTTCAGTCCACAGACCGACGCTCTATCCACTGAGCCAAACTGGTTAGGGCAGCCTCGCTGCTTTTAATGATAGAACCTCTATTCCTGGTCTTGATGCAGAGGCCCAGGGGTCCCAGCTGTGTGCCGAGTGGCAAACACTTGGGGCTTCCCAGGGAAGCAAGGGACAAGACCAGAGCAGATGCGAATCATGTTGGAGTCTGAGTCTCTCCCTCCCTCCTGCAACCGTGCGGTTCTGTGGGCCCACCCTGCTTTTCCCTCTGCACTTTGTCCTGGCATCCTTGGCTGCTCTCGGGGCTGGCCACGCCTCTAAGCTTTTCCACTCTCAGGTGCTGAGGTTCATGGGGAGCTATAGGGACAAAGTTAAAATGGATTAACGGCACCTACCCTTCACCTTCCCACTTCAGTTGCACAAACAAGCTGGGCCCCCCTCTGCCGGACTTGGCCCCTCTCAGAGTCCAACCATCAGAAGCTGGTGGCTGTGAGCTCCTTCTCCTTTGGGGCCTAAGAATTTCCCAGGTCTTGGACCCAACCCCGAGAGGCCAGGATGCCCAAAAAGTGCAGAAAGACAAAGAAGATGCAAACTGAGGGGTTACCATGGCAATGGCCATAGCCGGGGAGCCTTCTGAAGATGCCGGGAGGGTGGGTTTTCTTTCTTTTACCTTTTCTTCTTTTCCCGCAAAAGGAGAATAGTTCCGCTCTCTATTTTACTACAACAATAGCATGGACCAGCTCCTTCAAGTGTTTCAAAAAGCAGCCTGAGAAATCTCTAAGCAAGCCCTTCAGTGTCTCTTGCCTGCCGGTTTATTGTCCCTCCCTCCGGCCCAGGGAACAAAGGTGGGGGGAGGCTGTCAGGCCCCATGGCCTGCTGCTCCCAGCATCCTAATCCTTGAAAACCGGTGAGAGGAGTGGCCTGCAGAGCAGGGAAATTGAATGTTGGCCTCACCTTTTCTTCCCTCCCTCTCTCCCTCTACTATGCAAGCCTGAGCTGGGCAGGTATTATACAATCTCAGCCTAGCAGGCCAGCAGGAATCTCTGGGCTTACCAGGGGGATGAAAGGCACTGAGGGATCCTTCCCACATTCGCTAATAGTCCCTCCCTCTCCCCTCCTGGCCCCAGTTAGCCTGTTTGGGTTCCTCCTTCCCACCCTTCCAAGCTGCCTCACCACAGTGGAGCCACAGGTGGCAGGGCTGGCAGTTCCTCTTCTAGCTGGCACCACCCTCATCTTCCTGCCCTTCCCCTCTCTGCCACCCAGGCAGGAATGCCACACTGTCTCTCCCCCTCCCCCCCAGCTCTTGGTACCAACCTCCATGCCAACTTAGGGCTATCATGCCAGAGCAACCCCTCACACACAAAAAGCTTATTGGCCTCGACGGCTGGTACCTTTCCAAGGTTACCACCCAGGGATCAAAGGTTTCTTTGCTTTAATCCTGGAGAAATCTGCAGGTGTTTTCTAGCTCAGTCATCTGGTAAGAGTGGGGGGAGGAGGGGGAAATAAGCTTTTATGTTCCCGTGTGTGGAGATCTGGAGGAGATAGCCCTATGGGCCGGTGGAGTGAACGATATGTACCCCATCTCCTAGGGGAATCAGATGCGGCAGACATTGGGAAGGCTTTATAGATCGTTCAGGCCAGTGACTACAATCCAAGGAAGAAAAACATTTGCATTGAGGCTTCCATGCAGAAACTGAAAATGCACACACACAATCACACAACAGATATTTCACGAAACAATACAATATGCTGGCTGGGACTCATTCATTTCATTTTACCACCTAGGAATGGGTTGTGACACAATTTGCAATGCACTGAATCAAAGTCAACACTGTCATATTTAAGCTGACAAAACTAGATTTTCTCAAGTTCACACCAGAGCTGTGTGATCAGATATCCAAGGGGGTCTCTCCAATAGAGGAGGGGTCCCCATTTTTTCTGAGGGTCACACCTTTTGATTTCCCCAGTCTTAGGAGCATGCAGCTGGAGGAAAGGGCCTGCCCAGAGGTGTGCACTCGGTGACATTGCTGACAGGGGCCGAAGGGTTTTGCTGCCTGGGAAAACCCAGAGATGGAGATGCAGCTTGAGGGCGTGTGGTGGATAAAACAGCTTTCAAAGAACCAGAGGAGCTCTGCGGCCTCTCAGACATTTCCCCTGATCCCTTGGGGTTCTTGGATCATCAGACACTTTCCTGAATTTTTTTCTTCCCTAGACACACAACTCCAGGTCTAACTCATTTTTTCTCCAGTTTTCCAACTTTTTCTAATATTCTTTGTAGTTTTTTAACCCTCTACTGATTTAAAAAGCCTCTACTTTCTCTAACAACTTCATCTTTCCTGTCAAAGTCCCGATCCTAGCAATGGTGTCAAAGAGGCAACCCTGTGAATGTTGTTTCCACAAACACTATCCTAAAAGTTCTCCAAACTAGACATGCCTTTTACCACCATACCCAGGGCTCAGGATTCTCAGCACAAGGCATCCGGGGAGAACCGGCTCTTTCCCCTGTCCCCCACCCTAAAACTGTCTCCTGATCTTCCACAGAATTTCTTGAAATCTTCATCTAAATTTGCTATTTAGTAGACTTTTAATCTTTTAAGAAAGGCTCTCAAAACCAAGAGCCAAAGCCACACGGTGCACTGGGTAAATAAAACTCTAGCCTTCTGATGGCTTATTGGTTATACACCCTCAGAGACTATGTAACAAAGGGGCCTGCTGTTTGCTTTGCTTAATCTGGTCTTAAAATCTCGGCTTCTTTGTCAGAAAACAATATTTGCGATTGTAAAAAAAATATTTACCGAGGAACTTGGATAGCATAAGTCAAAGGCTAAGAGCCAAAGGTCAGTAGTTCTTACCCAAAATTTCCCCTGCCCCGAGTCCCTGCTGAGGAGCTCAGCTGCATCAAACAAACACTCTGCTCTCGGGGCCAGGACCCAGCGGGCGCTTTCGGAGGGGAGGGAAGGGAAGGCTGCGGCCTGTGCTCAGACAGAAGCACGGACTCTCCAGCTCCGGCTGGATCTCTGCAGTGCACTGTGAAACCCTGGGATGCTACACATACTCACCCTGTTTCACAAACCTGGGAAAAATGCTCAACTCATAAATCCTACAGGGCAGATAGTGCTCCCACGGACAGCAATGACAGGGTGGTCCTCTGTGGTTCAGGCTACATGGCTACCTAGGCATCTCTGTGGGCAGAGCCTCCTGCCTGGCAGTTGGGGACAGATGTGTATCCTGAGCATTTCTGTGGGGAAGCTTCTCAATGGACCAAGCAGTTTGGGACCCTGTGGGCTAAGCTCATTAGTGTCTGAATTGATCTCATGTTCACTGTTTTCTGGGCAGACCTGTGATTGGATGCCTTTCCTACCTGCCAGAGGACCCAGCATCTGGGAGTGAACCACCAGAGCAGACCCGTAGTTCTGCTAAGCAAGAGGCTCTGAGGTGGTGCAGAGTCCTTACCCCAGGGTCCCAGACTCACCCCTGCTCCTCACTCCAGGATCTGCGAGAGGACTGGGCGGCAGCAGTTCTGAGCCTGCTTGGTTTGACCCTTATTCTGTTAGAAAATTTTACAGTTCTCTCTAAGCCCCACAACCACCTTCTTCAAATTCTTGCCACAACTGCCAGTCTCTTTCATCTCACCAGGATAAAGACCTTTGATTCTGTCCTGAAATAGTTTTCGATCAGGAGCGTAGCAGTAATTACCACCAGCAATGGGCACCACTGAGCACATTCGGCTTAAAGAAAGGGCTTCCTCCAAGGATCTTACCTTGAAGAACCAGGCCTTCCTTCTCGATGGTGTAGACAAAGGAGGCGAAGGGAGCCAGCGGGGACTTGGCGATGAGAATCTGTGCAGCAAACACATTGCCCAAGGTTAGTCCAGGAGAGATCAGAGGGGAGCCCCATTCAGCCCCCTTTCCTCTTTGAGACAAACTGGTACCATATGACCACAAGTCATAAGGTTTATTTATGTTTTTAAAATTATCTTAGAATCAAATGAGTGTTATTCTGTCAATCGATTGATTACCTTGGAAGGCTATACATTTATTCCAACTATTCTGCCCTTGAAGGCCATATTCTTGAGCCAGATTTTCTAGAAATAAATTTCATTATTGTATGTCATGTGCTTCAACAGTTATCTTTCTGTCCAATGATAAAACTAGCCTAATTTTGTTCATAAACTTAGCTATTTTACTAAAAAATTTTCCAAAGCTCCCTTAAGAGATAAAGACTTACCATAATTGAGGATATTCAAAATAACTTAAGAAAGGCAAATCCATGGGAGGTTGCATTCTTGACCCCTACTCTTCACCCAATCTATATTCACCCCTTTTCCCATGTGACTACGTTCCTCTTGGTTAAGGTGTAGAGCAGTGGTTCCCAACCTTTTTTTGGCCAAGCTCCAGCTAATATCTCTAAAATCCTGATGCCTCCCCTTCCCCTGCCTGTGACATATAATTCTTATTCAAAAAGTGAATGCCTATTCATATGGAGGAAGCTTAAAAGGTTATTAACTTGGTCTAAAACAGGCTTCCAAAGAACATGACATCCATGAAAGAGAAAAATGAAAGACCAAAAGGACAGTTAAAGTACTGAGGAAGAAATTACTAAGAAATTGTTTAAAAAAATAAAATGAAGTGATATGAAAGAATAGCAACTCAAGTTTCAGAATATGTAACAGAGAACTGAAATGCATCAATATATCACAATATATATTTATATACTGTAGATGAGGCCCCTAGAACCATAATAAATGCAAAAAATTCACTGGTAATAACTCATTCTTGAATTGCTCCATTTAAAAATCAAGTTGCCCCCCTGTGTGGGGGGTGCGCCATGTTGGGAAGCACTGGTGTAGAGTATTTCTCATGGCCTTTGACTGTGGGTTTGGCATATGACTTGTTTGGATCAACAGGCTGTGCCAGTTCTCAGCCTAGGCCTCAAGAAGCCCAATATACCTCTACTTATTCTCTGATGCCTCTGGTACTGTTAGAAAAAGACTATATCCAAGCTCACCTGCTGTCTCAGGAGGAGAGTGAAAGACACCTGGAACAAAGCTGGCCTGCAGGCCCATCCCAAATAGTGACCTCTAGAAGACCCACAGACACATTGGTAAAATGCTCATTACGCATGCCTCTGAGATTTGGGTATTGTCATGAAGTACACTGCAGCAAGAGTTGACTGACCTACCAGCCAACACAAAATACCAAAAATATTTTGAGCAATGGTATTCTCCTAAGAAGATACCTACCTTAAAGGGGATGGTCATTTGGTCATTATCTCTAACCCTTTATCACACCGCATATGGTTCTACAGAACTTCTAAGGACTGGTAGGTTATTATCACATTTCTCCTAAAGGAAGATGAATATCAGCTTCCTGTTCTACAAATTAACATTATCAAAAATAGTGACAGTTTGGCACAGAGCTACTTAGGTAATCAGGGAGGCAAGGAAGAAGGAAGAAAGAATTTCAAATAACCAAAAGGCTCACATGCACTATCTCAATCTATCTCAAGTCAACAAATATTTACTGACTGTCAACTCTGAGAAATGGCGGAATAATGTGGTAAAAAGATCACAGGTTTTAGTCCTGGAGTCTGAATCTCTCTGTGTCTATGGTAAGGCTTGTGATCATCCTCCAATAGCCACCCCCCCATCTTCTTTTTAGTAAATATCTCCTCAGGTTTCAACATTCCTCTGCCTATTTTGCAACCAGGGAGGCCATTTGATTAACAGAACAGGAGTGTAAGTATCAGGTAGAACTTCTGGCTTACATTTTCATAAGAAAATGTGTGCTCTTCACTTTCCCTTCCCCCTTCCCAAGGGCAGGGACGGATTGAACCACATGGATGTGGATACCTTTGGGGATGACAGAGTGATCCAGGAGAAGGAAGTTGGCGGCTTCATAAAGCATCAATGCCTCCCCCCTGGGGCTACCTGTCCACCTCAGGACAGAACCACTGTGAACCACTGCATTTTGGAGTCTTTGTTACCATGCGGTAGTCTGAATTCTAACCAATACTGTGGCTCTGGACAACCTAACTTTTTGAGTATCAGTCTCCTCGCATGTAAAATAGGGATAATACCACCCACCTACATGGGATTATTGTGAGGATTAAATTCAGTCTATAAATGCCTGTTACTGTGTCCAACTAACAAGAAGATTTCCAAAAACTCATCATATATGCTTCCCAAGCACTCCTTAACGTTCACTCATCAAGACCCAATATTCTTTGCTTTTACGAGAAGGATTCCACTTAAGATGAATCTCAATAATTTCTACAGTTGTTCCAAAGATATCTAGATAAACTTGCTCATGGTCCTTCAGCCTCCTAAGCAAGAGGGCTCTGAGATAGTGTGGAGTCCTTACCCCCGTGTCTGAGACTGACCCCTGCTCCTCACTTCCATTTGACACTATCAATGTATAGATAGAGTAAAAAATATCTCATGTCAAAAGTATCTCACCTTTAAATTAAGGTGGAGACTTCCTGATAGAGACAGTTGGGGATCCTTCAATGTGAAGTTAACGGATGTGCCTGGTGGGGGGGTGGGGCGTGGCATGAGAAAAGAGAGGACAGTGCTCTCAAACTTTAATGAGTATAAATGGGTCTTGTTGACAGATTCTGAATCATAGGCTCAGGTGGGATCTGAAAATCCACATTTCTAACAAGTTCTCAGGAGGTGCTGCTGCTGTGGTCCATAGACCACATTTTGAGTAGTTGGGCTCCAGGAAACTAGCCTGATGGAAGAACCTGAGGTGGAGAAGCAAGAGACAGAGTCCCAAAGCCAGTTAGGAGGCTATTGTGATCATTCAGTGATGAGATTACAAGGGCCTAAACTACAACTGCTGCGCTAGCAAGAATGTGGGAAAAGGAGGTCCTTCCAGATGTGAGGTGGATAAAAGATATATAAACCCTTTAGATCAAAGAACAACAGAAATAAACTAAACATATCCAAAACATTGGATCTTTATTGTCTAGACTCTAGATGAAGCAACTAGTATAAATAAATAATAATCAGTAAAGTACCCTAGTATATTTTTTGAAAGCTATATTTTCATTTTTATTTTATAAACTGCAAAATTAAAACCCAGGGGGGAAGGATGTGATGTTTCAATGCAACACAGCAAATAACATTTGGGCCTCAGGATGCTGCTGCCAACATGACTGCGCACTTTCCATGGAGCATGGGCCCACTCTGAGCAAGTGCAGCACCCTGGCCACGAGAGCCTCATCAGGAGGGACTGCACATCTGGAAGGACCTTCTTTCCAGGGAATCAAGGGGTTTGGACAGGCCACTGATTAATGCTGCACCCTTCTCAAGCAGGGTTTAGAATGGGTCATTGAAAGAATAATTTGTGTGCAGTTAGAAAAAGGAAGTGATCAGTTATGTCAGATGAACCCTACTTCCTTTCTTTTAAGGTAAGAGAACTCCCAGACTGATGGACTGACAGCCATGTGGTGAGGGGCAGCAACCTCTAGTAGAATGTGCTGTACTGAAGTCTTGGTTCTATCATATTCCACATTCTTACCGACTGCATAGGACGCTAATGTACTCAACCACATCCATACAACACACATGGAACCAGCAGAGAACAGAACTGACAAAAATTGTTATCCTAATAGAGCTTATACTCTAACGAAGGCAAAAAGATAATAAACAAAATAAGTAAAATATATGGTATGTTAGATGATTATATGTGTTAGATGATTATATTATCATATACATGATAACATGATGGAGAAAAAAAAAACAGAGAAAACATTCACTGGATAAAATTTAAATAGAGTGAGTGGTAAGAGAATAATTCACTGAAAAAGTGACATTTGAATTTGGGGTCATGTGACTAAACCCATTGATGGAATACTGAATATGGTAACAGAAGATGAAAAATATAAAGAGATAACATATTAGATAATCATGATATCAAAACACATCTTAATTTGATTAGAATATTTGAACCAATCTTACAAATCTCTTAGGATGCAATTTTATTGAAATATATGTAAGGCCTTTTCCTTGAGAACAAGGACCAGCCATTTTTACAGAATGGGGAGATGAGATTTAGCTTTCAGAAGACGGGAAGGGAGTGTTAGTTAACTATAGTGCAATACAAGTTGGTTGTGAGATGTGGTTCACAAAAAACTAGTGTGGTCCCCAGTTGTATAAATGGAGACAGTATCTACAGCAAGGAAGTAATGATATGGCTCTGCTAACCATTCAGCAAAGCATGCTGGGTGTGATGTGTCTGGATTGGAGTCCAAATTTCAAAAGGGAAATCCACAGACAGAACAAGTGGAGGACCACCAAGATGGTTAGACCCAAAGCAACCCATGACCACAAACACTTCAATGCCAACGCTATGGTAAGAGGTCTATCTAGCATGAAGGTGCATACTGCTTTTAATACGAGTGTTCTGACTGGATACTTTGTAGTGCTACTTGGTAGAGAAGGGAAGTGTGAATTAGCTTTAAGACGAACAGATTTCAGAAAGAGTGATGCTTGCCATGTATTTTTGTGTGACTACAGATAGACTATTCCGTTTCAGACTTGAATCAATACCCCATGCTCTGTGCATTTATGCCTTTCAAACTACAAGTTATCCTCTTCCAAGGCAAACAACCCTTCCTAGCAGTTATTTCGGGCTGTTCTGTTTCAGATGTTCCGTCATGCCATAAAGTTGGGGTGTTCTAATCATTGTCCGGCTTGGGCTGTTGTCAAATGTCATTCTATCTTCTTCAATAGGTAATGTCCTGCAGGAAGGACCTGGCTGTTTATTTAAACTCTGGACCCCTGGGAAATAATTTTATCGCTCTGAACCCTGTGTGCAATATGTGAAGTTGGCTT